CCCCATTTGTCTTTGAGGCCTAGTATGAATACTGATGCAAGGTGGTGCTGCTAACTTGCATCTTACAGACAAGAACTGCCTGGAGTGTCCATCCCATTGTGGTCTGGTCTTGTAGTTGCTGCCACATCACTGGACAGACAAATGTGTGAAATTACATGACAATATAGTGCTTGTAGATTAGGTATGTTAGGGTGGTTATGACAGATGGGACAAACAGGAAATTTCTTGGAAAGAGAAACGAAGGAAGAGCACTGAAGTGGGGGAGTAAATCATTTTGCTGCAACATTTACTTTGTTATTTTTTGCAAAGTTTGGGAAAACTTTGTTATTGTAGAAGGTAGTTCAAAACATATCTTAAAAGAATATGATAAGCTTACATTCATGTCAAACAGTTGTAAGGTTACACCACCAAATGATTAAAGGAAATTGGTGCCTTCAACTGCAGCGTCATTCAACACCAATTCCAAGAGATGTGTGAATTCGTACGCTATCTCAACATCTGAAATGTAAAATAATTTTTGTGTGTAATGAAATCAACCAAACTGAATAAATTGTTTTGTACATGCATTCAAGTATGTCCTACATAACTTATTTGAGTTTCATTCAGATCCACTGAGCCATGCATCTTTACCTTTTTTTATGTGCCACCTGGCATAATATTACAGAAAATTACCTTTAAAGAATTTAGTGTAGAGCTGGGACAGTAGTCGGCAAGGCGAAGCTGTGGGCTGGGTGATAGAATTTTGTTGAGGGCACTGCCCTGTGCAGTGATGTATCCACACAGAGCTCAAGTGGTGTTCCAGGTATATCAGCTTGCCAGTGTGCTGTGGATTTGATTTGGCTGAATAATGAAGGTTGTTCATTTGAAGAAATTTTAGTCTGATTGAAAGAGATTTGTGAAATCAGCATTCATGAAAATACTTTTTTCCATACAGAAAGTACCAAAGCTTTGTATGAACACCCTTTCCCCACAAAAGTTTCAGGTCTTGTAGGCCAGTTGTATAAACACTCAAAAGTCCACATTTGTAGGGGCTTGTTTATTATGGAAGAAGAGAAAAACAGTGGATAGAGCAAAGTCTCTTATAAAATTTCCAGATCAATCAAGTGCCAGTAACATGAAACATGTATATTTTTCAAATGTGATTAGATTCTACTTAATTGAAATCACACATGCTTACAAAATAATGTATTTGGTGAGATTTCAGGTTATGACAGTGGTGAGTATGAAGACTGTCTTTTGGATTGTTGTATCACATGGTCTAGAAGTAGTTTACAGATGTCGCTTACCTCCTTCATGAAGGCGGCAAGTAACTCTGAAATGTGAATAAACTTCTACCACACTACATGGCACA